CCTTGTATTTGTGATACCCATCACAAGCTATATCTCCATTACTTCTGCTATCTACAAGTTTTTCATTCAAAGATCAATGAATCTAATGACACGATTTCTCGGATAAACCCTTAAATAATGACTCAAAATTTCGTTATTCAAAATGCCAATTATATGGAAGAAAGTATATGAATATAACATATTTATATGTTATGGATTCCTAATTTAAATATAAAATAGTTTAAATGAAAAATAAAAAAAAGAGCTTACAAGAGTGTGAGAAAGTATCCCAAACACTAGGAGTTCTTCCATCTTCATCAACAGCTCCTTCCCACTATTTCACTCAATCATAAAACAAATAAAAAAAAAATTCGATTTTTAAGAAGGAAAAAATAAAATAAGCAAAACTCGAACCTGATAAGCAGAAGTGGCGGCTCCAAAGAGAAAATCATCTGGAAAATCTTTTCTGGTGGATGCATCACTGAATCTTGTTACCAAAAAGATGACCAATAAATTGAAAAACAGAGACAAAGCTTGCATTTTTTCTTTGTACTTGATGCTCCTTTCCGTTTGAGTTCCATAGAGAATAAATAATTGAAGGGTTTTAGTCGTTTTCTCTTAGATGGTTATAAAAAAAGTTGAAAGTGACCGATCTTTTCTATTCATTCATCCACTTGTGAAAAGCGACAATTGAATGTGTAGAAGACTAAAAGAAATATATTTTTCCCCTTATAAAGTGTAATCTTTGTGCTGCGAGTCATGTGACCGACATATATTTTCAAACTTCTCCACAACAAAATGTTTTTGCAAAAGTAGTAAAAATAAAATAAAATTGGTGGATTAACGGTCATGATACATTCATTGTATGTTGCGTAACAGTGAAAATGTTAAATGTGAATTTTTTGTTTTTTTCAGGTATTTTTCAAATATTGTTTATTGTTTGATATGGTCACTTCTCGAGTTGGGATACGATAAACACATCTTCACCGCGGACTCATGAATATCTTTTACAGGAGTCGAATAATTTTTTTTTGTTAAAGTGTCATTTGAAAAGTGGTATTTTTTGAAATTTTTCATAATTTTTTGGGATAATTTGTTCGATAACAAAAAAAAAAAGTTATAATCAAGCGGCTAAACAATTTTATCCCCTGTGGCAAAATCTTAACCATTAAATTTAAAAAATTATGGTTTTTAGTTAGTTGTTTAATAATATAGAAAATTAGTTATTAAATAAATTCACTCTAAATCTTCTTTTAAAAATAATAAATTAAAAAAAAAATATTATCTTACGTGGCAAAATCCTAACCATTAAATTTACTAAAACACAAGATATCAAAGTGGGGTCATCGAAGTGAGTGCTGATTTTGAAGTTTGGTGGTGTCAAAGTCAAACACAACCAATTATGCCAAACTACCATTTTATACAATATAAATCTCCTGATGCAGCAATCATGGAGGAGAATCTAAAGATGCAAAATACTTAGCCGGAGATTCTTACACACTCGCTGATCTCCACCATGTTCCTTACATTTACATCTTCATGAAGACGAGTCATGCCGGTTTGATTAACGACCGCCCCTAAAGTCAAGGCTTGGTGGGAAGATTTCTGTTCTCGTCCGGTTTTCGTTAAAGTCTCTCCTGGCTTGACCGTTGAAAATATATTTGATGAAAAAGTTATGTTTGCGTTTACATTTTTACAAATATATTTGAAGAAAAAGTTAAAATGGTGTCAAATCAATTTCCTAGGAATGGTATGGTCAGAGTCAATTGCAACGTTGGAAGTATTGGCACTGTTCCTTGGAGGATGTTACAAGACCCGAGCAATCACGAGATCGAGTTGTAGTCCACTTCGACTTTCAGTCTCATTACTCTATACGTTTATGAGTTTTGCTTATAATTTGAAGTCTTAATTGAAAACTTTTGCTCTCTCTATTAGTCAACCAAGAAGATGAAACTTCCACAACTAAACTTCTAAAATCTTTAGATATTTATGTAAAACAAAAAATACTAAGAATTTGCGCATCCAGGGAATCGAACCCTGGTCAGTACCGTGGGAGGGTACTATGATACCACTACACCAGATGCGCTTTTGACAACAACAATCACAATATAATTATTTTGTTCGAGAAGCTTGTATGTTTGTTTCTGAGACTTGAGAGTGGTTTTTTTTTAGTTTTGTTGGTCTAATTCAGAATCTATGCAACCCTAGTTGATCTTACAAGCTACATTTAATGGGATCTCTAATGCAAATCTGATAAAATCATTTGCCAATTCACTGAGTTCTCTCATAGAAACTATGAACTTCCATTGCCAAAATCAAGATTATTTATTATGACTTAAGGTACAATGAAGAAGAACCAGAGAAGTTGCTCTGAAACTGAGTAATATCTTGAGAAGTAACATCAATTGTACCATTGAGAAAACCAGAGTACCAAGAAGCAGAGAGCTTTGGAGATCTTTTAAGACCAGGATCACTGAAATTCACATAGTACATTCCATAGCTGGACATGTATCCACTCAATAACTCATATAAATCAATCATCGACCATACAAAGTATCCTCTCGTGTCCGATCCATTCCTAACCAGACAAAAACATTTGTCAGAAACAGAGTCAACTAAACCGGATCAATCCAACTATGAAAGATTAAAAGATGAGGAAGGAGAAAATCATACTTGATGGCGTTGAGCACCGCACCAATGTAACCTTGCATGTATTCAACTCTTGATGTGTCTTCTTGCATCGAACCGTGTTTCATCTCTTTACCTGTTTTTTGAAGAATGTTAAGAACAAGAAAGTGTGATTTCAAGAACACAAAACATAGTTAGAAGATTTGACAAAAGAGAAATGAAATGGACCGTTTTCAAGAATGTAGATTGGAGGATTGTTATAGCTCTGCTTTATATACTCCAAGACACCTTCAAGTCCCCATGGAATCCCTTCCCACTTCAAGAAGAAAGCAATCGAATCGAATAAGGAAAATTTGTACATTCAAGAAGATCATATCAATAGTTTTTTTTTTACCTCCAAGAGTGAAAAATTCCCAATGTCTGTCCAAAAGAAGAAGAATTATCAGATAAAATAAAAGTGTCGAGAAGAAGCAATTTTCGATTCATTGTTGATGAAATGAAAGTAAACTTACAGATCATCTCTACGTCCATGTCGGTATAGAAGTCATGTCTTGTAGAAAGAAGAGAAGGTTTGGGTGTAAGGTTTGTCACATAGACTGTCATGTAATGGATAATTCCTACAAAGTCTGATGATCCTTTAACTTGCTTTGATTCTTCCTCTGAGAAAACTGGTAACCTCGGTCCCAAGATTCTCTTCATTACATCAGGATAGTCTCCAAATACCAAAGGCTTCAACATCCTGGATTATTAATTCAAAGTCTTATCAGATTTTTTCATCAAAGTTACTACTACAACAAAGGAAGAAAACTTGTTTCCTCACCAGCCAAAGAGGAAATCTTTAGCTCTTTGCGTTGCGATTTCATCGTCTTTCGAGTTGGTATAAGGAGATAACCCAAATGCATATATGCTAAGGCCTATGGTTCCTCTCTGCTTACTCTGCAACATCATATTAATTGTGTTCATAATGGTTTAAAGTTTAGGTTTTTTAAAAGTGAAAAATAGATTTATATATATGTACCTTGTACTTTAGTTTATACAATTTTGAAGCAGAGGCATGAGCTAGTAACATGTTATGACCAGCAATATATGGTTCAGTAGAAGAGTTTCCAGTAGAGCAATTGATGAATTTGGAAGAAGAACAGTGTCCAGGCGGCGCAAATCCATCGCTATAAGAAGCAATGGCGAATATCGTAGCTTCATTGATAGTAGTCCATAACTTCACATCATCCCCAAACTCTCTGAAACATACATCTGCAAAAGCAGTGAAGTCTTCTCTGCAAAAACAACAAATCTTTTTCTCAACTCATCTTTAAAGATGTATATAATAAGACCTTGTTAAATCAGAATATTTTGTGATCATTTACATGACTTTTCGGTTGAGCCATCCTCCGTACTCATCTTCAAGATTCTGAGGAAGATCATAATGGTAAAGTGTAACGTGTGGTTCAATTCCTGTTAATATTTTTACCAAAATTTCTATCAGATGCAATGAATTGGCTCTCGTTTCAGTTTTTAAGTACAAAGACGACAAAATCTCACCATGGTTTCGTAGTTCTTTAATGAAATTCTTGTAAAACCATAAACCTTTTGGATTAATGGGTCCTCTTCCATCTGAAGAAACCAAACACACAGACCAAAAAACATATGGTTTTAAGAGTTGAGAAACAAAATAATTACTTGCAAGTTAAGAAATCAGAACAAGGTTTACTAGGTATTAGTCTTGTCCATGAGATAGAGAATCTGAATGCTTCTAAGCCCATTTCTGCCATCATCTTAACATCTTCCTGTACAAGTCACAATAACATCGAATCTGAGACTAACATTAACTTTTTCGACAAGTAAAAAACAGAGCAAAACGA